TCTACGAGAGTTAAATAACACAAAATTGAACATACATTAAATAGATATCTAACTTCTGACTAATCCAACTACTTCAACAAACTACACATAAATGTAAAATGGCTTTGCAGCCTTCATTAAAACAATACTAAAGGAAAACTAGAGTAGATAGGCATAATACAAATGGACAGACAGGAGCACGCCTGCTGTGCCATCTGCTTCTTCTTTTTTCTTTATCATAAATATTATGGATTATTATAATATTTTCCCCCTTAATCCATAATTTTTATCTGCTCAACTCCTAACAAGTTTCGCATTTCTTCAAACTTCTTGCTTGCCATGGATTTTGTGAGAATATATGCCTTCTGTTCCTTGCTGCTCACATGCATGACTTTTATATGTCCATTCTCAACACACTCATGTATGAAATGAAACCTTGTGTCTATGTGTTTGCTTCTCCCATGAAACACTGGGTTCTTTATCAAATCTATGGCTGATTTGTTGTCAACATGCAGCACCACAGGACTAATTTTCTTTCCTGTTAACTCACTAAGCAACCGACACATCCATATCCCTTGGCACGTTGCACTTATCGCCGCCATGAATTCTGCTTCGCATGAAGAAAGAGCTACACTCTTCTGTTTTTGCGACGCCCAAGTAACCAGATTTTCATTAAGATAAAATGTCATTCCTGATGTGCTGCGTCTGTCATTTACGTCTCTTGCAAGATCACTATCTGTGTACCCGGTTACAGTGTCTTCTCCATTCCCCCTGGTGTACTTTAAGCCATAATCAATGGTTCCTTTGATATACCTCAGAATATGTTTCACTGCTTGTAGATGCTTGACTGTGGGTCTCTCCATGAATCGACTTACAATCCCGACAGCATAAGAAATGTCAGGTCGAGTGTGTGTGAGATATCTCAGACCTCCAATGATGCTTCTGTACTCCGTGGGATTTACCGGGTCTCCCTCTTCATCTTTCGTTAGCTCTAACTTGGGTTCCATTGGGTATTTACATGAGTTGCACTCAGCCATACCTGCCTTCTCCGGGATATTTTTCGCATAAGTTGTTTGCTTTAGAGTAATACCATCCTTTTGTTGACCCACTTCAATACCCAGGTAGTATGACAATGAGCCAAGGTCACTCATTTCAAACTCCTGTTGCATTTGTTCTTTGAAGAGCTTCACCTCATTACTGTAATTTCCTGTAACAATCAGATCATCAACATACACCCCAACCATTAAGAGCTTACCATTCCTCTTCCTTGTGTAAACTGCATACTCTTGTGGGCATCTTGTAAATCCCAAATTTTTTAGACATTTGTCCAGACGGGAGTTCCAAGCTCTAGGAGCTTGACAAAGCCCATACAAAGCTTTCGACAGCTTGTATACTTTTCCTGGTTCACTATTATTTACAAACCCTTCCGGTTGAGTTACATAAACTTCTTCTTCTAAATCACCATTTAGAAATGCAGATTTTACATCAAGGTGGTGCACAATCCAACCGTTTTTACCTGCAAGAGCAAGCAAAATATGTACTGTTTCAATTCGTGCAACAGGTGCGAAGACTTCATCAAAATCTATCCCGGGTTTCTGAACATAGCCCTTTGCTACCAACCTCGCCTTGTGCTTCAAAACTTTTCCTTCTGGATCCTTTTTCAGTTTGTAAACCCACTTGAGACCAATGAGTTTTCGACCTGGTGGGAGTTCAACCAGATTCCAAGTTTTATTTTTTTCAATGGCTTCCAGTTCACTTCTCATTGCATTTACCCAATCAACATTCTCACTAGCCATGGAGTATGACACAGGCTCCTCACTGTCATGCATGAATAAAAGTTCGTCACACTCATCATAAATATCATCTAATGAACGATACCGTTTCGGGGCTCCTCCACCTGTCGATTCTGATTCAGTACTTGCAGAAGCATCTAAACTGGTCAAACTTGAGGGTGTAAGTGTAGAGGTTTGTGCACTTGTCTGTTGGGTTTGTTCTGGTGCAGGACTTTGCATCCAGATTTCATGTTCCTGGTTGCTCACATCTTCATAGTTATCTTCTGGAGAGTAGCCTTCAATTGTAAAAGTTGCTCCTGGTGTACTTTTTAACAAAGTTGACTTTTCCCATGATCAAGCTTTATCTTCTTCAAAACATACATCCCTACTGATGTATATTTTCCCTGTGTTTGGATCAAACAATCTATATGCTTTCGTTCCTGTCTCGCATCCTAGGTGCACCAAACGTTTGCTTCAATCATCAAGTTTCTTAAGATGACTTCATGTTGCTCTTGCATGAGCAATACATCCAAACACTCTTAAGTGATCAACTTGTGGCTTTCTTCCAGTCCACATTTCATAAGGTGTTGAGTCTTTTAAGGCTTTTGTGGTCACCCGATTAAGAACATAAACAGCATGATGTACAACCTCTCCCCATAACGTTTCTGGTACGTGCATGCTCTTGAGTATACTTCTTGCCATCTCTACAACAGTGCGATTTCGTCTCTCTACCACTCCGTTTTGCTGTGGGGAATATGGTGCTGTGTAGTGTCGTTTTAGACCGGTTTCTTCACAATACGTGGTGAATTGTTTTGAAAGAAATTCACCACCACGATCTGTTTGAAAAGTCTTTAACTTTTCACCTGTTTCAGTTTCAATAGATATCCGGAACTTTTTGAAAACACTGAAGGCTTCATCCTTAGACTTCATCATATATACCCACATTACTCGAGTAAAATCATCAACTAACAACATAAAATATCGGTTACCAGCAGGTGTGGGTGGTGAAATAGGACCACAAAGGTCTCCGTGTACTAGCTCAAGCCTCTGTTTTGCCTTGAAGCTTGCTTGTGATGGGTATGATTTTCGTGTCTGCTTTCCCACTAGACATCCCTCACACAACCGTGTAGGGTTATCTATCTTTGGTAGTCCACAAACTAAGTTCTTGTCTGACATTTTTTTGAGGGCAGTAAAGTTAACATGACCCATTCGTGCATGCCAAAGCCAAGTTTGTTCATAAGTCTCTCCAAGCAGACATCTGGACCCAACTTCATTCAAAATGATTTTATATAGACGGTTTGGAGATTGTTTTACCTTCATGAGTAGTCTCCGTTTTACATCATGAACCCACAAAAATGATCCGTGTATCAAGATCCGGTCACCATTCTCTGCTAGTTGACCCAAACTTATGATATTATTACACAAGCTTGGGATATAGTACACATCTTGCAGCTTTCGTTGCTCTCCATTCTTGCACTGGAAAATAATAGAACATTTCCCTTCTATACGCACCTTGGACCCATCTCCAAATTTTACATAACCTTGAGTTGTTTGGTTAAGATCATAAAACTTATCTTTCTGACCGGTCATGTGGTTACTTGCTCCATTGTCCAGATACCACACATTTGACTGAGTTGTTTCATCACTTGCTAACTTCAGTTTTGGTGTCACTTTTTCTTCATTCAGGAACACCTCCTCTATTGCTTCATTGTTGTCAAAAGAAGCCAATAATAATGCCGGTTAAGCATGATCTTGGGTCAGATTTGCTTCATGGTTCCTTTCATGTCTTGGGTTTCTACACTCTGAGGCATAATGCCCAAATTCTTGACAGTTATAACATTGGAGTTTGCTCTTGTCGTGACTGTTAGATGGCCCACGATTTCCTTCTCGTTGTTGTTCAGCTACGCCTCTTCCATGGCCTCTTCCACGACCTCTTCCATGGCCTCTTCCACGATTACTATAGTTGTTCCATCTGCCACGACTTCTTCCACGACCTCGTTGATTGCTTGGACTGTTATGGTAGGATCTGTGAGAGGATTTTGAGTCCTCTTCACTTTGCTTCTTGTTTCTTTCAGACCACTCTTGGTGAGTCAATAGAAGCTTCTTTTCTTCAACTTCATTGTGCCCTCGGATTCTCTCCTCGTGAGCTTTCAACCTACCAACAACTTCTTCAACAGTCATCTTATCAAGATCCGCGAATTGCTCAATGGTTGATGCAATCTGCAAAAACTTTGATGGAACTGCCCGTAGTAGCTTCTTCACTACATAAGCTTCCTCAACTTTGTCTCCTAAGGCCCGAATATTGCTTACAATATTGTTTATCTTCAAAGCAAACTCATCCACTGTCTCCATCTCCTTCATACTTAGAACTTCAAATTCTGTTTTTAACGTCTGCACCCTTGCTGTCTTTACTCTATCAGCCCCCATATACATAATTTTTAGAGTATCCCATGCTTCCATTGCTGTTTGTTTTTCTGCCAATGACAGCAACATATCTTCTGGGATTCCTTGATAGATGGCTGCAAGTGCCATCTTATCTTTTCTAACTTCAACTACATCTTCTGGTTTACTGGGCTCTACAGCTTCCCAAACACCTTGTGCTTGCATGAACATTTTCATTTTAATGGCCCATGCAACATAATTGTTTCTTGACAACATAGGATAGTGCAGTGTAATCTGCCCATCCTTCTCGTTCCTTGACGAATCTCCCATGGATGCAGATCGGGGTTGATATTTTGGCATAAACTTGGAGCGCTCTGATACCAAATGTTGGTTTACTGCCTACTTTAATCAATTGTTTTAAGCAGAAAAATAAAAAGAAAGGAAGATGGAGTTCTCCGTGTGTGTGTATTATGCAGTGGAAGAGAAGAAAAAAACTGCCAAAGGATTGATACTTAAAATTACTCTCTCTGTATTTTTGCTTCTACGAGAGTTAAATAACACAAAATTGAACATACATTAAATAGATATCTAACTTTTGATTAATCCAACTACTTCAACAAACTACACATAAATGTAAAATGGCTTTGCAGCCTTCATTAAAACAATAGTAAAGGAAAACTAGAGTAGATAGGCATAATACAAATGGACAGACAGGGACAATACTAAAGGAAAACTAGAGTAGATAGGCATAATACAAATGGACAGACAGGGAGCACGCCTGCTGTGCCATCTGACTTCTTCTTTTTTCTTTATCATAAATATTATGGATTATTATAATATCCTTTCAGGTTATAAAGCGCAAATGTATCTCAGAGGCTAACTGGACTGAACAGATGGTTGCACAGTTGCCTAAACTCTTTGACAGTCTTTTGGAGATCTTTGTAGGCTTGTAGCACACCCAGACCCAATCATGTCAAAAAAGGAGCTTGTGCAAATATTAATCTCAGACCATTTGGAAGCAGCTGAAGAAAGTAAGTGTTTTCATGATCATGGTATAAACATTTTTATCATGAAAGCCCAAATCTAATCCTAACCTTACCTACAGAAGAAGTCTATGAACAGCTCCGCTTGATGCTAGTACTAGCTCCAGAATGGATCGAGGAGAAAATGTCATCCACTGTGGATCTTCTTATACATGAGTTTTTACCCCTTTTCTTTCCTCCATGTGCAGTTTTAACAGAATTCTGAACCCTAAGTCAATACGCACAAGATTTATCTGAAGCTAAATAAAAGGGCATTATGTAGTTAACACATTTTCTTTGTTTTTTCAAGGATTTGGAATATGTTTTGGAATTTAAAGGAGTTGAATAATTTCTTATGTTTTGTTTGGTTCACAGTTGAATTTTGTCTACATAGATGATGATTATGATTTTGTTGAATTTTATCTACATAGATGATGATTATGATTTTGTTTCACCACCGCAAGGTTAGCATTCTGTTAAAAATGATATCTAAATGTCATTGTTTTTTTCTAACACTTTTTTATTTTTATTTTTTCTAACTATTTTTACACCATCGCAATATCAATATTTAAAAAAAAATGATCAAATCAACAATTAATTTATTTAATTTTAACAACTACATTTAAATAATATCAATTAAATCAAGAGAACCATCATGAATTAATCTACATATGTTGTAATGGGCCTAACACTATCCCTTTCACCTTCGCAGCTATGACATTTCCAATTCTAGCTACGAAATTCGTTGTCAGCATTCAATATTTTTCTGTAATGAAACACGATATAGAGGATTAAAAGCTAAAAATTACATAAACTGTTTAAAGCTTATATCATTCATTCATTAACAATTTCATACACACTTGAAACTTCACGATATTATGTGCCCAATTTGAAGGGTAAAGGGATAGCAACTAGAGGTGTTGCCCTAAGCAATGTAAGTCCAAAAACAGTATTCATGTCCATTTCTTCTCTAGCATGAGGAAGCTTCCAATCAAAATAATACACAAATGATGCCACGGTTAAGCTCACCACCCTATGAGCAAATGATATTCCAGGACACATTCTTCGGCCTGATCCAAATGGTATAAATTTGAAGTGTTGGCCCATATACTCAATCTGCTCATTTTCGAAGAACCTTTCTGGGTTGAACGTCAACGGGTTTTCCCAATACATAGGGTCACGTGCCATGGACCATGCGTTCACAAGAATTCGTGTATTTTTTGGTATTATATATTCACCCAGTTTAACTTCGGTCTCAGTTTTATGAGGTACTAATAAAGGTACAGGTAAATGAAGTCGTAAAGTCTCTTTGATTACAGCTTGCAAATATGGCAAATCCAAGATTTTGGCTTCTTGAATTTTTCCATCTTCTCCCACTATTGTGGAGACTTCTTCACGAAGTCTTGAGAACATATGAGGGTTAAGTAGCAGCTCAGTCATAGCCCATGCTGTTGTACTTGAATTAATTTGTTTCTGTTCCAGCTATAAATATATCCTGTACGTAATATAACAAGATATTGTTTACTCATCATAGTTATTTAAATTCGGGTAAGTGGAAAGAGTTTATTGAGAGACTTCATAGTTTTTGGAGTAGTCGTTTCGTAAATCATTTTGTTCATTTTTTTTTTTTAATCTCAAATTAAAGTTCTTTCCCTTAATGAAAGAACTTAGATATTTTTGTTGAAGATTTGATTATGTAAATCTTGGTTGTAAAATAGCTTTACGAAATCATACAGTAAAATAAAAAACTTAAAAGGTCAACATTTGTGTTTAAGATCATTTCAGGCAGGACATGAGCTTCTGTTTAATTAGGAGCCAAGGCGCTCTTTGTTATCGTATTAGTTTAACAATTGATGACAGACCAAAAAGGATTTTCAACTATTTGATTTTTTTAATTAATTTATTTTTATTTATCATACAGAATATGAAAAACCATTTTAACAATCACATTTTATCCAAGACAAGTTCTGCTTTGTTTAGGATCATATCTTTTTTTTATTTTAAAAAAAATGAAAAATAGAAGAAGAGAGGATTTTACCACAAGTAGAATCTTGATGTGTGTGAGATTGAAGTCGGCTTCATGATCTTGACTGTAGTCCAGCAATGAATCCAAGGTATCACCAAACCTCGACAGCTTATTCGACTCTCGATGTTTTAACCTTTCTCTTATGAAACCTTCTGTAACCTGATCGAACCAGTCATAAGCTGCTTTTGCCTGCCGTCGTATGTCCTGCGGGTCTAACGGCTTCAGCACCGGAAATATGTCTGCGATGTTAAACCTCCCGTGCACCTCCATCAATGTCTTCACTGCTGTATTAAACCCCCCGATATCATCAGATTCGTAGCTAGTCAGATTCCGTGAAAGGCATGTGTTTGACATCTGGTTGAGCGCCACCGCGAATGCCAGCTTTCCGATGTCCACAGCTGCCTTCTTCCGCCCGGCCTCCCGAAGAAAATCTAACATCCCCTCCATCACGTTCTGGCGAAGGTCGCGAACGATGTCAAGTTTTAGTTGGTTGGTGAAGTACGTCTTGAGGGCTTTTCTAATGGTCCGCCACTGGTGGTTGGCTGGAATCCATATCACCGCCGCGTCATGGTTGTCCAAGGCGGTGACAGCGTCTGGGATAATACGGCCAGAACAGGCCTCATCATTGTGTTGGAGGATTTCTCTAGCAGCATCGGGTGTGGACGCCACCACGGTGGTGATGCTGCCCAATCGGATTGTCATAAGTGGACCGTGTTTCTTGGAAAGCTTGGCTAGGGACTCATGGGGTTGTGGTCCAATGTCAAGGAGGTTGCCGATGATTGGGAGGCCGGCTGGGCCTGGCGGTAGTCTCCTTCTACGGTGGTGGTCGATGCCATGGAGGAGAAAATAACGGCGGAGAGAACTAAAAACAGAAACTCCATTAACTGTTTTCCTTTTCGTTGCTTGGTATGCAATATAATATATGTGAGGGTTATGAAGTCTATTTATAGAAACATATATATGCCGCAATGTGCAATATCTATTTACGGTGATGGTGTAGAAGTAGAACCGACAGTGGGAATGATAGAACCGATACCTGATGCTTAATTAGACTAGAGCATCAAGCTTTTTGCTCACGATTTGTTAGTTACGGGATATGATAAGAAACCAAAAAACAACTTACAAAACTTATTTATGTAAATAATATAGTATTAATTATTAAATATATCAAAATTAATACTATGCGGTGACCCTATCTTCATGGCTTCCGTAGAATGCACAAGTAAGGAAAAAAAATATTTGATGAAATTCGTCTAGTGAGGTGATGCTTTCTAGCCTCTAGCCCTCTAGGACTTAAATGGATCAATTCCATTCTGTGTCCAAGCCCATCTTATTAATCCCACAGCCACAACTACCCATCCATAAGTAACTTCAACTTGATTCTTGGTCCAAGCCCAATTAATTCCAGATCAGCAGCCCATTCTCCGTAACCAGGTCATTTATGGAATAATTTAATCCCAGCAACTCACTATGATTCTCATCCTACCAATTAGGGGTGCGGTTTAGTTTAATCCCAGCAGCCCATTCTTCCGGTAGATTTTTTTTTGTCCGATTCAAAAGTTGAACCAAATCGAATTCAAATCTCACTAGATTAAACCGAATTCGAATTTGGTTTGGAAACCGAGGAAACCATATATTTTTTTAAAATAAAACTAATGTTGCAATTTTCCAAACATAAATTATAAATGTTCAAACAAAAAAAGCTAAAGTTCCAAACATAAAAATCTAAAGTTTATATGATTCGGAGATGAAATTGAAAACGAAAAGTGAGTGTGCGTGTGAATCGTGAATTCGAGAGGGTTATGAACTGTGAAAACTGAATAGTGATAACCCTAAATTGGTAAAAGGGCTAAAATATCTTTTACTTTATGTTGCTTATTTAATTCTTTTATTTAATATATAAAATATAAAATATAATTTTTAATAAATTAATTAATTCAATTCGAATTTTCGGTTCGGTTTGGTCTAAAGTTTATGAGATCAAAACTCAAACCAAAAACCAAATTCAAAATTCGGTTTGGTCTCGGACCAAACCAAAAACCGAATTTTAATATGGTTCCGTCTGAAATCGATTTCGGTTCAATTTGGTTTTGAGATTTTCTGTTTCGGACCAAATAATTTCCACCCCTGCTAGCAAGAATTGTCATTTCCTCTTTCAAAATCAACTTTATTCTTTTTCGTCTCAACAAGTAAGACCAATAAAATTCTTTTCAGCAGCATGGGCCAGTCCGAGAAGGATATAACCTATAATAAAAATGATTATATGTACATTATTGACCTCATTTCTTTCACAATAAAACTCCATGTAGTCTGTCTTCTAAATAAATATATAAGGAGCTAGCTAACTCTCTTATCACCGGTCTTCAAATTATTTCAATTTCCCATAACCCCTTCTTGCAAATAGTAAGTGGCTTATCACTTAATGAAACTCTTAAAATCTTCTCGACATCTTTAATAGTCTTCAAACACATGGCCTGGTTTTGCAACAACCAACAACTCCAGTAATCGTGGTCCAACACGAACTCATCTTCAACTTCACTTTTCATCTTTAATTCTAGTAAACCTTTAAAATTATTCACAATAACTATAATATTCTTTCAAAATAGGGGCTTGCTTTGCGTGATGTAACCACTCCAATAAAGATAATCCCAATGAAACAAGGCTTTTATTTCATTCATAGTCTTCAATTCTTCATCAAGTTTTCCCAAAAACTATATACCAATCATTAACCCATCTATCATCAACTCTTTTTGTTAGAATTTTGGGTCTTAAGAATATCAATATACTTGGATATTTATTGGATTGAGTATTCGGGTTGCACACTGCTAAGTCGAAACTTCGGAAAATCATAACTTCCTCATACGAAGTCAGATTTGGGCGTTCTTTTTATGCACGCTCTCGGTTTAACGAACTCTACGACTTTCGTTTAGATCGCTAAGGCTAAATATCGCTCTATCGTAAATTCACTTTTTACGTCATTCAGCGTTGCCGGTTCTGTCGCGAAACTTCGACAGGTCATAACTTCTTCGTTATAACTCGGATTTCGGCGTTCTTTATATATCCGGAAACCTCGTTTCGACCACTACAACTTTATGTAAAAATATCGGGTTTATCTCACACTTCAATTTTGACGCTTATTTTATTCTTAATTCATTAAATTATAATAATTAAGAAAATAAACACATAATTCACATAATTCACATAATACTCAAATAATTCATCTTTATTACTTCAAAAAGAGTTACAAAGGCCAACCTAGACTATTACATCAACGATAATGCCTAGCCTGGAAACGCGGGCGTTACAATTCTCTCC